TAGAGAATCTTATAAGGAATCTTGTGTTTCATTTTCAAATCTTAGATTTAAAAAGAAAAATTTTTACGAATTCTTAACTCAAAATAATTTGCTAATTTTCGTGATTTTTCTATATTTTGTCAATTTTTGAACTTTAAATGGTTATAAAAAAAAATTCTGACTAAGGATTTTTAATATTTTTCATCTGCCTTTGAAACAATATATTAGGAGCCTTCTATTAAATTTTCAAGCTTTCGCAACCAACAAATAAAATTTTATTGATATTTTTAGAAAAAAAACTAAAAAAAAATGGAAAATGAAAATGTCCCTAAACAGTTCAAAATAAATCAAAACATTTTGAAAATGTTATCGTGTATAGAAAATGCAAATATAAACAACCAGTGAAAATTTCATGTATATACGTTAATTTGTTTTAGAGTTACACCAATAACCAAAATCGATTTTTTGGAAAACCAATTTTGCGTAAAAATTCCCGTTTTTCCTTAATTTTTATGTTGTTTTTCCCGGCGCTTGTGAAAACTACTGGGAAATTTATACTTTTGACCCCCCAAAGTACCAACTAGATTCACTTTCCTATCAGAAAAGCTACTGATGAAGAAAATCCAAGCACTTTTACTGTCCTAAAACGTGATGACAGACACAAAAATAAAAAAATAAATAAAAAAATAAAAAAAAAAATAAAAAATAAAATAAAAAAAAAACACACATCATTGTAAAATCAATACATTCATCGTTTCACTCAGAATCTAAAATATAAAAATATAAAAATATAAATAAAAATATAAAAACATACATCATTGTAAAACCAATACATTCATCGCTCCGCTCAGAATCTAAAATTAGTTACAAATTAAATTACATTTGCATTGCACTGTAATGAAAATTTATATTACGTACGTAGTACCTACCTACTTTATACTACTATGTGGGTAGTACACTAGTACTTATATTCAATGAGGTCAATTGTATAGTCATGATACGAGAAATAGGTAAAAAATGTCCTAAAGTAATAATTGGTGCATTTGAGAGGTCAAAATCTCAATTTTCCAGTAGTTTTCAAAAGCGCCAGAAAAAATAAAAAATAAAATAAGGAAAAACGGTAATTTTTACGAAAAATCGATTTTGGGTGTCGGTGTAAGCCTAAAAAAATTATCGTAGTTACATGCAATTTTCACTGACTGTTTATATTGGCATTTTCTATACTCTATACAATTTTCAAAATAATTAAAATATTTTAAAAGTATTTTGCAATTTTCAATTTTTTTCGTTTTTATTTTTTCTATAAATGTCAATAAAATTGTATTTTTGTGTAAATAAGATTCAATGTACCTACTCCTAATATATTGCTACAATGGCACTTAAAAAATAATAAGAATACATAATCAATAAGAATACACAATTTTTATAAGCTTTTAAAGTTAAAATTTTGACAAAATACGTAGAATCACAGCTATAAAAGTTAAACATTTTATAAATTTTTAACAACTAAAGAATTTGTAAATTTTCAATCAAACAAATTTTGTCAAAATTTGAACTTTAAATGGTTATAAAAAAAAAATCGTGCCAATGTATTTTATTGACGTTTATAGAATAAAAAACTAAAAAAACGGAAAATTTCAAACGTCTATAAATAACTTAAAAATTGTTGAAATATTTTGAAAATTTTATCAAGTATAAGAATTGATGAAATAAATATTTGGTGTAAATTATTTGTTTATATATAACAACAAAATAAGAATAGTGAATATCTAATATTGTAATTCAAATGTTCATAAAAGTTTAATTTGACTTTTCGGTAGAAATTTTTTATTTGATAAAAGTAGACAAACTTATGAAGAATTTCGTATAGAATTTTCAAACCTTAGATTTAAAAAGAAGAATTTTTTGAATTTCTAACTCAAAATAAATTGCAAATGTTCGTGATTTTTACGTATTTTGTCAAAATTCGAACTTTCAATACTTATTAAAAAAAATTATGACTGTGTATTTTTAATATTTTTTAACTACTATTATGACAATATATTAGAAGTCTTGTATCAAATTTTGAAGCTTTTTTACCCAACGAATAAAATTTTATTTTCATTTATAAAAAAAAAAGCACATAACATAGTTAAATTAATACATTCTTCGCTCCGCTCAGAATCTAAAAATGAAACAGTTGAGCCAGACGATAATTTATTAATTATTATTATAGGTATTGTGCCCACCGTCGCCGACGCACGTTTTCTTATCTTACATTATATTCCAGGAATATGATGGCAGTTTATTTTCAATTAGTAGCTATCGCCAAATTCGCCGAGCCGATACATTTCCGCACTCGCAGGCACCTGTCAATACTATAGATTTTGTCAAATAAACACCACACTATTTAAATGACAAAAATGCCAAAAAGCTAGACAAAATTGTAGGAGTTGGATTGGACGGATTTTTATTTTGAAAATGGATATTAATTAGTCATTAAGTTAGTTAGGAAATGGTCGAGGGGATTTTCTTTATAAAAATTCTTCGATAAAATATTGACAATTTAAAAAAATAAGAATTTTTGTATTTTATATATTTAAGTACTCCATTATTTTTTGTAATAATGATAAATTTCCACGGCCATGCTTTAGAAGAGTTGTTGAAGATTTTCAATTGGTTTTCAAAATTAAAATCCGTCAAACCCAAGTCCCACAGTTTTGTCTAGCTTTTGGCCTGTTTTACGTGATAATTTGTACCTGCTCCAGCCCCCTTAAAAGAAAAAGACGGCATATTACAAAATGTAGAAATAAAAATAAACATATTAGAACAAAACGAAAGTGCGTGTCTAGTAGAAATATGTGGTGTAAAAAAGGAAAATAATGAAAATGTTGAAACAATCTTTAATGATATCGCAGGTATTATAGACGTTGATATTAATCTTTTTGATATTGAAAATGTATACCGAATTTATCAAATCGTAATTTGGAAGCTTCTCAAATGGTCGCAGAATTTAAAAAAAAAAAAAAAGAAAAGAATTCATTAGGAAACGGGGAAAATTGAATTCAAATGATCAAGAATATATATTAATGAAAGCTTAACAGCTTACAACAGGAAACTGCTTCAGGAGACTAGATTATATATGTTTTTGATCTATGAATCAGAATAAACTGAGTTCTACAGCTTATATTATGAGTTATGACATTCTGGTTTGTCTTGGGTGCGAGTGTGTGACTTTATTATTTTTTTTTTAAATGACAAGGCACATAGTCTATATTGTTATCAAATAAAAATAAAATGTCAACGTAAGGGTACAGTCCATATCTTAGTATATAATATCATAGTATAGCCAGTATAGGTCGTCCCCTTACACTGCCATTTTAATTCTTTAACTTGATAAAATTGTATAGTGGGGGTACTATTGCAATACCTAACTGTGTATATATTTTAAGCCATGGTAATATTAAAGTCATTGTACGACCATAATATATTAATTACTCTACTATCTATCATTGTTATTTCATAATCATTTGTATATATAATTCATTAGTAGAGCAACATTATTATCTAATTCTTAAATATCATGGTTTGATTCTCTTTGATGGTATTTTTTATTTGGCTTACGTGTTTATAGTCAAATGCTAATTTTCTATTTATTATAAATTCTACTAGATAATATGTATTTTATTATATATTTTAATTATTTGATAAGTTTCAACACAAGTTCAACATATCTATTGAAATTTACTATTTTATACAGGGAGTTTTAATACTACCTTTAATCTTTATCTCCTATTTCAAAATTTTATATTTTTTTAGATATTTTAATCTTTGTTTTCAAATGTTAGATAGTACGTAACAGTTAGTAATTCTTCTAGCTCATATGGTATCTGATATGGAATATGTAAGAACTACATCAAAATCAACTACTTGGTATAGTTCTTAACTTGAGGGACATTCAAAAGTCTTAAATCTCGATTGGCTTAGTAACTTAGAGCATATGGTTTGAAAGTTAAGTAATTTATAAAGCCAAGGCACATAATTAAACCTTCCCTTCATTCAAGAGATTCATATTTTTTGTTTTTTTAATTTATACAAGTGAAGATTATACTCTGTTCAACGAGAGAACGCACAGCGCAACGACCAAAGCTGGTTCCCCCACGCAACACCCTGCCATAGGAGAACCTGTTTCGATAGTAGTGTGACGCGGGGGATGAGCAGAATCTGTGCGCTCTCTCGCTGAACAGTGTATAGAAATAGTGATTTGGTACCTGTTGAAATAAAATATAATTTACAATAAGCTGTCAAAAAATGAATCAATATAACTCAATTTAACAATATCACTTTAATTGCATGTTTAAATGTAAACTGTACATAAAAAATATATATATTTATAGTGTTATATTAATATAATAATAATAAAAACAGATATTTTATTTTGATAACATCAAATCTAAATAATAAATACATTACAAATATAAAGTAGCTATAAAAACAACAACACACCAATGTTTTATCATAATGAGAATGTTATATATAAGATGGATTACATTCCATTATAACACAGAACATCCTAACTGACTAATAATAGATGGTGTGAAAAAAAATATAGGCAAAAGTATAAAATAATATGTTATGCAATGTTAATAAGTGATTCACAATTATAAATATTTTGGGCCCTTTAAAGAATTTCAGAAACACCAAAAAGTTTCTTAAGGAACATTGTTGAAATACTAATAAAAAAATCTTACAAGTATACCTTAATAATAGACAAAATCCGTTAGTTTGATAAATAAAATACATATTTTTGGTTCGATTTATTGGACTTAACAGGAACTATAAAAATATATTTTCTTTTTGTCTATGAGATAAAAAAGATACAAATAGAATAAAAACAATAATTTTCTTCCACATTTGGGCTAGTAGAGCGCTCAAATGAATTTTGTTTTCAGGTAATAAATACATAAATATTAAATAAATTCAACTAATACAAAAATAGTAAATATGGTTTACAAGAAATAGCAAACTATAATGTTGTTATGTTATCCTTTAGCGTTAGCCGCTACGGGTCTAGATCTCTGTACCAGTCTTTTACGTAAGGATTCGGTGGGTGCATGCTGGGTAGGCCTCAATAGTTGTCGGAAGTCAAACCCTTCTGGCAGTCTATTAATGTCCGGAGGAGTTAACCTTTGAGGTACAAATAAGGGAAAAAAGATTTATAAATATTAGAAACATAATGTTTTCTTGTTCCACACAGCTAACTTACCTTAATGGAGAAACCCATTTTGGTTTATTTACTGGTTGGATGTTATTTGTTTTTGCATTTATTGGGTTCAACCTAAAATATGATTGAATTGAAGTAAAAAAGTCAACAAATTTAGTTTTTTTCATGATAATTTTACCTGTTTTCAGAGTCGTATTTATAATTTTCACTCACAAGCTTTTTAATGGCATTGTGCACCAAACCCTTCTGTAAAATAATATAAACAATTGTTTAATTAAAGTACCAATAACATTAGATGTGGCAATGTATTATAGTAGATAAAAATCTACCTAATGAATATTTTATTCATTTACTATACATCATACGGTCAAAAATGGGCGGGGAAATTAATTGAATGGGTAGAATAAAAAATAAAATCATTATCTAAAATCACATTATGGAAATTATACAAAAAAGAAATATTTCATTAAACTGAAATACAGTCAGATGTTCAAGATGCTCGTGTAGTACTTTTATAAGGTAATAAATAATAATAAATTATTCAACAAAATATTTTTGAAATTTGTGTAGGTTCTACTGTTCTAGATATAATACAAGTTACAAGATATAATATAAAAATAATTAAATTACAAGGAAATTTAAAAGTTTCTATTCAATAAAGAAATTAAAAATATTATAACTTATAGTCAATGTATGAGTATGATCAATTGAATATTTCCAATGTTAATCCACATTAGAATTAAAAATGAATAATGAAATATTAAGAAAATTAAACATAATAATAAGCTGAGTGATTCACCAAGCATGCTCAACCCCATTTTTTCCTTCAAAAATACATCTACTCAAATTTTGATTTTTGGAATTTTTAATTATACTTAGACTACATTTTAAAATTCTTAAGCTATTTTGTACAACTTAAATCTTGATTATTAGGTGAAGGAAAACTGTTTGCCATTTTGACAATTTATTGAACTAAAAAATTAGTTTATAAAATATATTCAAAAATATAGTATATCAGAATATTAGAGATAGAGATTAAATGCACATCGCACTGTAGCAGTTAATTTAATAGTCGACTGAGACGATAACAATAAATACCTACATTATGTATTATTGAGTTTTATATTCAATATTATTATTAACATAAACATCTTAAAAAAAAAAAATATTTTAGAAAATCCTAATATATAAAATGACAAGGAAATCAGCTGTCTACAAGCAACCCGTGGAACGGAAAACGCAGTTATAGTGAAACCGTGGAGTAAAAAATGAAGCACCGCTCCGTTTCCCCAGCCCGCCGGCCAAGTCCCGTCGATTCCTTATAGCGCGACCAATCGCGTACCTTCGCAGCGGCGGCAGTCGGTTTTAAAACGTTTTTCGTTATCACCTCTTTTCCTATCATTTCGCCAATTTTTGAAATTTTCGGAAAATTAGCTGTTTTTACACGATTTCGACCCTTTCCGTCCTTTTTTATACTTAATTCGAAGCCGCCGGTGTGTAGTTTATATTCGTGCGCCGTTCGAAGCGGTCGCAATGTCGATCGAAAAATACACTCCCGACCGGACTTTTTTGCCGATTTTTTCCTTTTCTCCCACCGTTTCGTCTATTCACACGCCGTTTGTGCCCGAATCGTGTAGTCGACGTCTTTTTAAAGCCGTTTATATGGGCTTTTCCCCCGAAATCGGTTCGTTCGCCTCGCAATCGCGTTTATAAATTACGCCGGCGACCGACCGACCGTATATATACATGTATAATTTAATTTTTCCCTATGATTTAATAATTATTAACGAAAAACGCTTTTCACACGCCCCGTTAAATATATATATGGGAGATGCGCGTATTACAAGCGAATTATATGCGATTACATCGATGTACATCGAATATATCGGTTTACGTCGCTCCGTAGACGCACGGCTTAAGTGTTGATGTTTTGATCATATTTCACATCTCAAACTGTGTCCAAGTAGGTTAGGCGTTAGGTAGAAAACACGTAGGTCCCGGGTTCGAACCCGTCGTACGCTGCCCGAGCGTCGAATCTGGCATTGCCATAAGGTCTACACGGCCGCCCGGAACCGGATTTTTTTTGCATTTTTTTTCACGTTATTTTTAATATAAATTAAATAATAATATAATAATACAGGAACATATCGTACATTATTATTATTTAAAGTCATTGTCATATTATATCATACAATAAATAGGTACATATTATATTTGTTTTGTTAGGAATTATTATAATTGCATATTTTTTCAAAAAGTCCATGATTGTTATATAAATATAGTTGTATTTTATTTCGGATTGCCTACCTAGGTGGCTAAATTGAAAGTTAATCGATTTTGACTTGAGATGACTGACTTGCTAGACACTCCAACACGGTTGTCGACTTTACACTTTTTACATAAGGAATGGCACCGGACATGCGAAGCCACATACCACTCTATGTGATATACCTACTATATATAGGTGATAGACGGATTGCTCATTTTAGTTTCGTCTTAAACGGTGATGATTGACTTGACAGACACTTTAACAGTTTAACATGCAGGTTTTTGCATTTTTTTTTTTAAATTAATATATATACATTATAGGTAGTGTTTATATGTACTTATTGTATTGGTTAATATAATAGTAGGTATGTATTATAATTATGTATTATGTATTATAATTATAATTGCACTTTTCTCAAAGTGTTCATTGTTATATTATATCACACAATAAATACATATCATATTTGTTTGTATGTATATTGTATATAGTTTGAATTTTTCGTAAATTATTTCGTAAGTTGTGTGATAGGGTTTTCACTTATAGCCGCTTGACGTCGGGTCTGCAATCCACCGCAGGTGGATTGCCTACCTGATTTGCTGTAGCACATTGTCCGCGATCCGACGAAGTCGGATTGCCTACCAGCCTACCTAAGTGGCTAACTTGAAAGTTAATAGATTTTGACTTGAGATGACTGACTTGCTAGAAACTCCAACACGGTTTTCGACTTTACACTTTTTACATAAGATAAAGCACCGGGCATGCTACGGCACATACCACTTTATGTGCAGGTATACTCTATATAGGTGATCCTGGAGATCGTATCCAGCCTATCCATTTACAACGTTTGTGACGGATTGCTAGACACTCAAACTTTTAACATTCCCGCCAAAGCGTCTAGCCTTATATCCAATCCATATCACTAATCCTTATCACAAATCCTAAACTTTCGTCTTACAACCTTTGCGACTTTTATAATTCATTGTCTCCAAAATCGGTACCCACTCTCAGCGATTCCAACGGGCCCCGAGTTATACTTAGAGCTAGTATTAAATAAACTTACAAAAATCAAGAAATAGGTATGCATTTTTCACCTAAAATTGACGAAATATGTAAAATATGCATTTTAAATTTTCGATTTTAGCTTGGTCTGTAATAAATCAAAAGCATATTATAGAATAATATGCAACTCCTTCAACAACCGAGCCCTATTAATAACTAACATTTTCAAATCAATATAACCCTCATATCTTCCAAATCTATTATCATGGACCTATTATCCTTGGTAAACAAAGTTAAAGAACTCAAAAACTACTCATTCAAATTTTTATTTTGATATGTCATAATTATCAGAAAACTTGTGCACTGAATAATTTACAGTAGATAACCGGTTATCATTGAAAAACAAAAATGTGTATATCCACAGGACACTATCCTTAATTAGTACAATAATCTGAACAATTTAAAAATAAAAATATGGTCAATAAGGTAATATCTTTAGGTATATTTAAAAATTCCAAAAAATGAAATTTTTAATGACTATATTAGTGAAGAAAAAAGGTGGTGAGCATGCTGCTTTTTGAATCATCCTGCATAGAAATACAAATTTCCTAGATGAATAATTCAAACAATTTTTTTTTTTTATTAGTAGTATAATAATATTATTATCATTGATCTTTAACAACCGGATGTGGCATTCCTATTTTCATTAAACAGTTAACATTTAAACCAAGTTAACAAAAAGAGACACAGTGGTTCTCACTCGCACAAAAACTTCTGAGCAATAAAGAAACTAACATTCAAAAAATAGTAAAACTGTAACAATGTCGCGGCATTGAGTATAGAGTATATAGCATCTATACTCAATGGTTGCGGTTAAAAATATTAATCGGGTTATCATACAGATTATAGATATCTATGTAATGCCACATCCATAAGTTCAATATAATAATATTAATGCATATTATATAGGCTTTATGTCTTATATTATATATTTAACATTCAAACCTCCCTTTCAAATATACATTTACACAAATCCTTTATATTATTACCTTAATTATCATATTATTCTAAGTCCTACACAAATAGCCAATACAATTATTATTTGTTTGTTATGAATGACTAATTTTCTAATTGCGCACATACTACATGCATCAAATGCATCTAATTGAATTATCAAATTCTATATGTGCGTACCTGACCAGTTGTATTAAAGTCTTTCAAATTGTTCAAACAAACAGAAATGTTTGATTTCTTAATGAACTTGAAGAATTCTTTGTTGCGAGCGTGAACCTTTTATTAGTCACGACATATTTTATTAAGTATAAAAATAATAATTGATAACCATAATAGATTTAACAACAAATACTTACATTTTTTGAGAAGTCAATTAAATGCTTTTCTCTTTCCACTTTTTGTTGTACCTTACACGGCAACACCTTAACACCATTTTGCTGAAAACACATCATAAATAGCATAAAAACTAACAAATTTACAATATTCGTACTACTCACTTGGATATAGGTTTTTTTATTTTCTGCTACAATAACTGGGCTAACTTTATTTTGATTTTTAATTGGATGATCATTTTCTTTGGGTTCCTGCCTGTATATTGGGGCCACTTCACCAACAGGTATTTCTCCTTTTGACTTTTTTTTCTTTTGTCTGGCGAGCCATCCTCTAGTGTGTTTCTGTAATGTTAATGCTCCCCATGACATTTGTTTAGCCAACATAGCTTCCTTATAATGCTTCATTGCTAGCCACCGTCGAACACAACTCTGTACAAATATTATGTGACGTAGCTAAGGACAACAAACAATAAGTTTCATTAGTGTATCAGGAAAACGGAAGATGCCAAAAATGTATTAAGCCTTACTTGTTTTTCATGTAATTTAGTCAAGTGTTCAATATGGTAATACTTTAAGAATACTTTTGTTTTTCCAATTGCCCAGCCATCTAATTTTAGCTTAACCAATAAGTGCCTACAATTATCTCTAGTTGGTGGAACTTTCTCATACAATCGGAATCCTAAAATTGAATACCTATAAATTAAAAATAAATTACAAATACACATTATTTTTATTATTCACGATAATTACAGTATAATGATTAAAATTAGTCCAAGGAGTATAATTTACCTGCTTATAAAATCTTTAAATAGCAGTCTATGCGAGTATCCATTCCGTCTTATTCTAATTGTTTCCATAACTCCACTGCAGCGCAATTGTGCAACGACTTTAAGAGGATCAAATTGTTTTGGTTGTCGTTGATCGTTTGGTTTGATACAACGAACAAACCTAGGCAAACTTATACCTGAATTGTTACAGCCCATACGATGTAACAGTTCAGCTAATGAATGTCTAAAATATGTTGCTGCAGTTTGTTGGCCTCGAGATTGTGAAGCAAGTCCAACTAACCCTGTAGACGAGTCCTGAAATTAGATGAATATTATTTATTTATCTTTCACATTTTTACAAATTATGAAAGTAAAATATAAATATTATTACTTGAGAATAAAGATTGCCAGTTTTGGTAACCGGGCTTTGGAATAATGCTCGAACAGTTTTATTGCTGGATTTTCTTAAGACCTGAATAGCTTCTATAGCTAACAGGTGCCTATTCTTTTCAAGCATCCCTGATGCTTGGTAAGTAACATTGCCAGCAAAATGTTTCACTTCAAATTGTAAAGCATTAGATTTTGGTCGTACATAATAATTACATTTTATATTGCAATGGAATTTTTCTATAAATTAAAAACAATATAAGACATTATATTTATAGAAATCTATAGAATTTGACAAATTAAAACTTACCGACTAGCGATCGATCTGTTGCTCTAGGAAAACGACTTTCCTCGTCAAGTAATGCCAGTAAGCCCATTGGTCTACTCACAAGCATATCTAGTACAGGTCTGTTGTCACAAAACCCAACATGTTGAACAGGGACACCCTCTGATTCGTATTCCTTATAATATATACAATTACAATGTTATTGTACTGGTAATTATAACTATATAGGTATTAGATTTATTTTACTTACAGCTTGTTCCAAAGCAAAAACATGCTGATTAAAAAAATATTGAAGTTGCTCATTAGCAATATTAATACAAAGTTGTTCAAAGGAATTGTACGTAAAATTTTCAAAACCGAAAATATCAAGTATTCCTATCACATTGTATTCTCCCCTGAAAAAATAAAAAATATATATATTTACCTACTTCCTTATTATTTAATATTTCCTGATAAGTTCTATTACCTGGTATTATAAAAAGACAACAAACTATTGATCGAGTTAACCAACCAATCAAATAACCGACTGTACAAAGCCCGGGCAATTGCGTCTCTTGTAGCTACAGCTTCTGATACAGAATTATTCCTTTGAATAATCTCACCTCTTGTTACTACACTGTTAACACTCAAACATTCTAGTAGGTCTGAACTTTCAATGTCTAACAAACATGAGGCTAAAACAAAGATATATAAGTATAAAATGTGTTATTTTAAAGATTTTATTTTAAAAATGCATGGTAAAATGTAATAATTACTTCTATGAATTGGTGTTAAATCGATAACAGTACTCTTGTTGTCTGTATTGTTATCAGTGATGATTTCTCCAAATTCTATATCACCCAAGTGCAAGATGGCTGCTAAAATGCAGTATATAGAATTTACTTCCTCGTCCTTGAAACCAACTTGTTCGAAAGCATTTTTCAGTTGAGCGAATTTATCTACATTATTCTGAAATAAAACATACATAATAAAATATATATACGTAAATACCTACCTATACAGAAAACTATAATGAGTAAATTAGTAAATAGAAAAAAATCCTTACTTGTTTTGTTTTGTTGTCTTGACGGTCAGATGGAAGATAACTATGCATTTGTCGTAGCTCACGATCCAAATGAAACTCTTTGAGCCGTTTATCATGTTCCAACCCGTCGTAAATGTAGTAAAAAGCATGGAAATTACTCTCCCTACTGAAATCAAAATAACAACATGTTAAATGGAATTATAAATTACGAAAAAAATGGAAAATTTACTTTGCTTGTTGAATGACTCTGGACTGTTCAAGTAGGTAAACTGACACTCTAGCTCCTTTCAATTGGCCGCTTTTGGTCATGCTCAGCTCTAAAAATTTTCCGAATCTTGAAGAATTATTATTAATACCAGTTCTTGCATTTCCGAACGCTTCCATAATCGGGTTCATCTGGAGTATTCTTTGTTCTAGATTTCTGTTTGGTGCCTGTGATAAACACGTATTTATTAGCAAATAGTTTACGATTTTTTGAGACTACATAATTTATTTCAAAACCTAACATAAGCTTAGGAGACTCCTAAAAAATTATTTATCTAAAATAAAATTAGTTACAAAAAAGTACCTAGAAGCAAATTACCAATTACGTAGGTACCTTAATTATATTGAAGTGCTCAAATAAACACAAATAAAATATAATAATAATATAAAAATAATTATGGCGATCTGTGCACTTTATAAACTTTATAATTTTCTTACATTGTACTTCCCCTTTTTTATATAACACATTTGAGGGCATTAGTCTTCCCCCCCCCCAACCCACTTATATTTGAAAAATATATTGTTGACTTCCAGGTTAGTAAAAATGTACTATTTTTTAAATCCCTGTAAGAATCTATTGAGAAATAAGCACTTCAAAATTATAGTACTACACATGTGGTTCAACAGTTATAGGAGATTTGGACTCACCTTGCCAAGGTACACGAGTTGTTTGAGCAACAGGTTACCGGATTCGGTTTTTCCGGCACCGCTTTCTCCACTGATCACAATGGATTGGTTGGCCTTTTCATGGAGCATAAACTGGTACGCTGAATCGGCTATTGCAAATATGTGAGGTGGATACGCTGCTCTCATTTGGTTGCAGTATTTCTTTTGCTCCTGTACAGAAATCATATTATATACTTTATCTATATTTATTATTTAATGATGTGTAAGATTATTTTGATAACTCACCGCTGACGTGTATAACGGAAGCGGGGTAAATGGATTTATGGCCAACAGGATGTCCCCGATGTATGTATAGATGAAATTCATCTGATATCTTTTTTTCAGTTGATTGACTATTCTCTCCTATATGAACATATTATATAGGCCAAAACATAATTAGTATTTATTAAAAAGAGTATAAGTATAGAAAATTAATGTATAGTGAATAGTGAATACTATATACTATACAATGTAATGTACTATACCTCCGACAAACTGTCTAGAGCGGCTAAGTCGTCGACATAAATGGTAGTGGGAGGATTTTTGCGTTTACTTTTTAGTTTACCGTGTTTAGTGGTCACATCGGGATGCTTTTGTACTCTTCCGCTGACTTCTCTTTGATATCGAATTTCAGTTCTGAGTTCTTCGCGTACCTGTAAATATATACTTAGATAGAAAAAATTTTGAAATCAAGAAAAAAAAAAGGTGGGCATGTGGGTACTGCTGTACAGTAGGTTACAAGTGGGTCAATGTAATGGATGGTGTTAAATTTGAATTCAATGATATAATATCATTGTATAAGAAAAACGATTCTGAGCGAAGACAGTTTGTCAGCCTATGATATTTTTCTAAGAATATTTGATGATATTATTGTGAATAAAGTAATTGATTTATAACCTATTTACGTGGAACCTTGTTTTAAATTTTCAATCCTTAGATATAAAAGACAAAAGTTGAACATTTTATAAATTTTTAACATCAAAATAATTATAAAACTTTAAATTTAGTACATTTTGTCGAATTTCGAACTTTAAATGCTTATAAAAAAAAAATTGTGCCTATGTATTTTTAATATTTTTCAACTGCTATTGTAACAATATATCAGGGACCTTGTATTAAATTTTCACCCATATTTACCCAACAAATACAACTTTATTGTCAATTATAGAAAAAAAAATAAAAAAATTGGAAACCGAAAATGTCCGTAAGCAGCTCCAAATAAGTCAAAATATTTTGAAAATATATGATGTATAGAAAATACTAACATAAACATTTAGTCAAAATTTCATGTATCTACGGTAATTAGTTTTACAGTTACACCAAAAACCAAAATCAATTTTGCGTAAAAATTTACGTTTTTCTTTAAATTATCTTTTGTTTTTCACTGCGCTTTTGAAAACTACTGGAAAACTATTTGGCATTTTAAATTTTGATCTCCCCAAGCACCAACAAGATTCACTTTCCTATCAGAAAAGATACTATTGAAGAAAATCGAAGCACTTTAACTGTCCTAAAAGGTGATAACGGACAAAAAAAAAAATTCCAAAAAAAAAAACACATCATTGTAAAATCAATATCGCTCCGCTTAGAATCTAAAATTGTGTACTTAATTAAAAAATGAGATTTATTGACATAAATTATATACACATATAGGGTGATGCCAAGCATGCTCACTCCCATTTTAAAATATGAAAATATTCACACTACATCATGAAATTTGAGTCTCTGATTTTTGGAATTAATTAACATTATGTATAATAATATATAAATATAAATATTGGGAATAAAATGTATCACACGGCACGTACCCTGTGAATGCACTTTGACCCGTGAACGACGAAAGGGTCGTGTATGAGTAGGGCGGTGGTCGGTCGCTGTTCGAAATCTTTGATCAGACATCTAGCCACGAAGTGCGTCAATTTGGGCGCATCCGGTCGAGCCGACAACGGCAAAACAGGTGGCGGTTCCCGCGGTATTTGAAATAAAGCCCTCATCGGATGCAATCCACTGAGCGGAGGATCTCCAGTAGCTAGTTCTATAGCCGTTATGCCCAACGACCATACATCACATCTACTGTCGTAGGACGAATCCCGTTGTTGTTCGCAAGCGATCACCTGGAAAATAAATCAAGCGATTAATTATTATTATTATTATTATATCCACGCTTCAACATTATTATTATTGGTAAGTCAAAACCGATATAAGACCAACAGGAGGGCTATATTTTGTTGGAAAACAATTATTGTTCAGAACTTAAAATATCGGAAAATATTTTTTATTAATTGTATATATCAGGATATTTTTTTCTCATGGTGTCGACTATCGACGACGTTGCCAAAACTTCTTGCGAATTACTCCGACAACGCTGCCATCATTCATTAATTAATGACATATACAACAATTTACGAAACTCTCGGGAAACCTACTACTTTCCAGTTTCCATATAGCGATCGCTATTGTATAATATGTGAAGAATCCGCGAAATATTAATTTAGATCTGTAGGTACTTATTGATTTGAAAACGTACTTTGTTGGATTACCTATTTACCTAGTATTAATTCAGAAACGTATATTGTCAGAAAAGTATTTGTTACGGGTAGTAAGCACTTCAGAACAATGTACAGTACATACCTAACCGTTACTCAATAGTATACATTTTCCTCGAAAATAAGTTTCAAAAGAAAAACGCGATTCCGACAAAATATTGTTGAGTATATTAAAGTTCCGCAAAAACATAATACCTATATTCCCAACAGAATATTTAAAATTTTTTTATGATATTTTGGATAAAGTTTGTTAAATAAAAAGGTTAAAAATCCACAGTGTTATGTATAATATGCAATTTTAAAGTATATTCACTATACATGATCATATTTTATTCAATGAAGTTATCTATATACCTATAATTACCTAATCAATTAAAAATTGATGATTACAGCATTAATAATTAATGGTAAACATGTGTACTGTAAACTGTATAAGGAGACGGTGTACACAAAAGTGAAATTCGATTAAGAATTATTATTTTGACATGATGATCTCTTCGAATTAAGTATATATATTAATATATATAGTAATATAGTATATAGTACCTATATAATATAGTATATTAAATATTATAATCTTTATGGTTGGATTTTCTAATAATTATAATATGACGACGTCTAAAAAAAACTGTTTATTTATATGCTGATTATAATTTTTGCCATCACAAATTGCCACTAAACTTTTATTAAAAAAATTTAAATTAAATTATAGGAAGTATAGACATAGTGTAGCGTATGGCTGTATCGTTATCGTCTTAATAAATATCGAAATAATCAATGTACCTCCTAATAGAAATGATTTCTTATTTCTCTTTTCATCGTTAACTCACCCATTAAATTTTTGATCTAAACACTCTAAAATAAATTAACTTTTTATAAAAAAATACAAAAAGGCACAAGCCAAGGAATTAACGTGGCCCTCTTTTGGGCCGAAACAATAAAAATCCATAAATCCATAAAGAACGTTGTGAAAATACCTTTCCATATTAGCAAATATTCCACTAAGTCTTACTATATTTTAGATTCTGAGTGAAACGATGAATGTATTGATTTTACAATGATGTGTGTTTTTTTTTAATTTTTTTAATTTTTTAATTTTTTTTTTGTGTCTGTCATCACGTTTTATGACAGTAAAATGGCTTGAATTTTCTTCAACAGTAGCTTTTCTGATAGGAAAGTGAATCTAATTGGTACTTTGGGGGGGTCAAAAGTAAAAATTCCTAGTAGTTTTCACAAGCGCCGGGAAAAACAACATAAAAATTAAGGAAAAACGGGAATTTTTAAAAACGGGTTTTTGGTGTAACTTTAAAACAAATGAACGTATATAGATGAAATTTTCACTGGTTGTTTATATTTGCATTTTCTGTACACGATAACATTTTCAAAATATTTTGATTTCTTTTGAACTGTTTAGTTACATTTTCATTTTCCATTTGTTTTTAGTTTATTTTCTAGAAATATCAATAATATTTTATTTGTTGGTTGCGAAAGCTTGTAAATTTAATAGAAGGCTCCTAGTATATTGTTTCAAAGGCAGATGAAAAATATTAAAAATCTTTAGTCACAATTTTTTTTTATAAGCATTTAAATTTCAAAAATTGACAAAATATGGAAAAATCACGAAAATTATCAAATTATTTTGAGTTCAGAATTCGTAAACATTTTTCTTTTTAAATCTAAGATTTTAAAATGTAATACAAGATTCCTTATAAGATTATCTACCTTTATCAAAACAAAAATGTCTATAAGAAAGTCAAATTAAATTTTTATGAGGGTTTGAAATTCAAATTTTTAAAACATTGGATATTCACTCGATTTCTCATGTAGCGATTTCCTTATTTTGTTGTAATTCAAAAACGAATAACTTTAGATCCATGAAAATTTCACTGAATATTCATATTAGCATTTTCTATACATTGTACAATTTTGAAAATATTTTGAGCTGTTTACGGACATTTTCAGTTTTCAAATTTTTCAGTTTTTTTTTCCATAAATATCAATAAAGTTTTATCTGTTGGGCCAAAAAGTGTAAATACAAGGCTCCTGATATATTGTTACAATAGCAATTGAAAAATTTTAAAAATACATAGGCACAATTTTTTTTTATAAGCATTTAAAGATCGAATTTTGACAAAATTTATCAAAATCTCGAAAATTATCAATCATTGTAATTAATAAATTATAAAATGTTCAGTTTTTATACCTAAGGATTGCAAATTTAAAACAAAGGTTCTCATAAATAGTTTATACTGTAACAAAAAAATCTAAGAAATATATGAACACAGTTATTTTTTACAGATATTTTAAATTCAAATTTGGACGAAATTACATAATAAGAAACCTAGAATAACTATTTTAGTTATTTTGTTGTGATTGTATAATATTTTTCGTGGGTACTTGAAACTTCTAAAGTATACTACTATATATCTAAGATAGTATCAGGGTTTGTTGTTGGTATATAACGCGTTACAAGTACCTAATGGATATTGTGATATGATTAATTTTGAATTCATTATAGGTACCTATTATAGGTCAAATTTTGATTTAGTACCATAGATATGTATATAATATGTCTTATACCTAGACTGACATACCGTCTCCGCTCAGAATCGTTTTTCTTATACAATGATATTATATCGCTGAATTCAAATTTAATATCATCCATTATACAGTAACCTACTGTACAGCAGAGCGACACCCACTTGCCCACCTTTTTTATATTTTATATTACATGTTAGTTAGTGTATTGACATTTTACATTATTTTATCTTATTATATATTGTTGATTGTATTTTATACTATTAGTACCATATTATACCATTATCATTATCACTGTTATAAATACTGTGCGTTTAATACGAATAAAAATACTGAAAAAAATACAAACTATAGTACAATCTTTACATAAAAATGTGTAAGGTCAGGCTATTAAGTCTTATAGAGTCCAATATAGGCGATATATTCGATAGGTACAAGTAACAAATACCTTCAACAACCGTTTACGGTTTGACGACGGAATTACAATATTAAGAAGATTTACATTTGTTGTCTTCGTCTTGCACTCTTACAAGTGCATAACATATTAACAAAGTAAATTTAAGTTCAGAAGTTCACGTTTAGTTTCGTTATAGTTTTAATATTAAAGTGAACTACCTATATGGCTATATAATATTATATAATATTATCAACATTGTCTGTGATTTGTTGGAGGTTCAATTCATTCAAAATGTTAATGGTAAAGTGAGTTATAAGAATGTAAACAATTTTTCGAGTAATATAGATCTATGAATATATTATTTAAGTGATCAATTGGAATCAATGTATATAAGTAGATTATAGGTACTACAGTTTAATAACAACGTATAGAGGTTGTTCACCTACATTTCAGTCGCCGTTTTAATGATCAGCAACGTATGGTATTAGTTAATTTTTAATTAATGAAAAAAATAATATATCTTACACCTGTTACATATTTCAAAACCGGTCAGTGCACCATTTTACGCGGCATTTACACGCGAGTTTCTCTAAACCATCATGAGATATATCGCGCACTAATGATGTATTGATGTCCACATTTGACGATAATGAGTTATCGACGAGAATACGTGATTGCGTGTATTCATCATGACAAGATATAAACCTTTTTCTAAATTGTCAATATTTAATCTGCGACGAAAAAAAAGTTTATATCTTAAATAACCTCGTTTAAATGTGTAATGAAAATAAAGTGTTAACTCCGTCCACCGATAAATTAACAAATTATATAGGCATTCCTACCTATACTTAGATACTATACTTATCGGCAGGCCCGTCGTTAGGGCACAAGCAAGTCATGCGTTGCTTTAGGGCGGCATACAATTTTAGAGAAATTGAAGGCGCTAAATTGAATAAATATCTGTAAAGAAGAGCGGCATTAAAATGTTTGGTTTAGGGCGGAAATTATCTAACGAAGTGCCTGTTTATCAGTACTATATTATCTATTACAATTTACAGCCGTACACTATTAGCAGGGTTGCAAAAAAAAAAAACAGTTTTTTTAAAATGTTTTTTATTAATGTGTTTAAAATGTTTTTTTGTTTAAAACGTTTTTATTTTTTTTTTAACATCGTTTTAAACGCCATTTTTTGTTAAAATTTTTTTTTGCATGGAACATACATTTCGTCTAAACTATAAGTCTATAAACAACTTTTTTCAACAATTATTTTTTTAGTGCAGGGAAGTAACAACTAAAAACAAATTTCAAAAATCTTTGTTGGACTTAACTGTAAATAATTGTAGTAGAGTCATACATCAAATTGTTTTAACTTTTAATCAACATTCAAAATTAAGTTATTAACACTAATTAAGAAAAAAATAAAAATAAAGAATTATAGTTACCTACATCTACATGGCTACATTTACATTAAGTTTGATTTTTGGTATTATTATTATTATTATTATTTATTATAACTGTAAGGTACTATGATATTAAGGTATCTGTCGAAAATCAAGTTATAAGTTACATAAAATAAAATATTTTGTTATTTTGTTTTGTCTTAAATAAAACGTTTTAAACGTTTATCCGTTTA